ATTGCTGCTATCATCACTTTCACTTGCTGCACTCACGTCATTGCTGCTATCCTCACTTCCACTTTCGGGTTGGCCTGGAGATGGGGTAGAGCGGTTAACGCTAATTGTAGAGTCGATATCATGTGGATGAAGAATATCCTGCTTGTCGGCTGTGCCTTCTTCCAGGTTACCAGGCGTTGTACGCTCGTCACTTACTGTAGTGTTTTGAGGCATGATGTCGGCGGTGAAAGTGTCATTCGTCGGACTAACGGGGTGGGATCATTATCACTTTCTGCATCTTCTGCTTGATAGACCTTGTAATTAGACGCTGAGTTCGAGTTTGTTTAAGAAGAGTGGTGAGTTTTATACCGCTTAATAAATTCCCTCACCCACGAGTGCTGGCTTTTATCCTTTTTTAAAGCGAACTGAGGGATATTTTGGCAGTAGGATAAAATTGATGCGTGGCTGGGAATCTCGCCTTCACGAGCACAATTCTCGTAAAAACTCAGCACGTCGAATTCGTAGAAAGTTGTTCTGTGCTTGCGTCCACCGCCCTTCTCGCGGATGCGATTGCCTACATCCGGAGGCACGCGAAAGTGTTTGAGTTGGGGATCAGAGTACTAGTTGCGCCATCCGATGAGTGTGCCTTTCTTGACGTTAAGGTTTTGGACAGCATCTTTCACCGTCCATTCCGGGTGCTTCTGCCAGGTTCGTAGCTTGGCGATTTTTTTTCGCTACCGGCACCTAATGAGTGGTTAATTTCGGCATAACTGGGAAGCTCGCAGGGGGAGGAATTTGAAGAGTGAGGGTTGGTGTCCACTCTCTTAGTTATGTATATAGCTGTTATTTGTTAAAGGGGGTACTTAACAGAATCTGTTCGAGTTATTCCAGATCTTGGTGGCATCTTTTTTAAATATTAAGTCGACCTGGTCGCGTTATTTTAAGTCTGGATCTGCATTAAGCCGACCAGACCGAGTTAATCTGGATCTTGGTCGAGTTAATCTTGATCTTGGTCGAGTTAATCTTGATCTTGATCGAGTTATTCTGGATCTTGGTCGAGTTATTCTGGATCTTAGTCGAGTTATTCAGGATATTGGTCGAGTTGGTTGGGAGGACATCTGCACATGAGCGAAAGCATTTTGCACGTGATTAGGGGCTGGGTCGGAGATCTTGCCAATGTTGACCCGCGCTACATACGCCTTGATGAATAGTTCGAGTTTTCTTTCTCGGTGAAGTTTCCGAAGTTGCTTCAAGACTGATGATCCATTTCTGCTTTTAATTCCGTGATAGCCGAAGAATTCAAACAGACAACGCTCCGCCTGCATTCCAACCAGCATCACTTCGTCACAATACGATGGCGATGATGGGTCAGGAGCAAACCCTTCGGGCAAGAACAGCTTCATGTAGTTGGCGATCTGCTTGTACGCTGACTTCTCTTGGCGATTAGAAGATACATCCCAAAGCCGAGGTGTTTTGGCGTACCATTCGATCCAAATTGCTGCAGGAGACTTCGGAAGAGCCTTGGTTCCACACGATTTCTTCTTCGAAACTGCTGCGTTCGATTACATCTCTGCGTTCGGCACATCCGACGCGTTTTGGCAGTTTGCGTGTGACAACAGAGCTATGACCACTTGGAAACACCAGACGATTTTCCAGCTCGCTTACTCGCTTGACGAGGTCCTGGTTCAAAGAAACTAGTTCGGCAATGACGCAATTCTGGTGATTGACTAATTGCATCTCCACATCAGAAACTGTTGACTTCTCCTCCACATCAGAAACTGACACTTGCAACATAGAGCTCCATGACAGCACACGCGCGGTTGAGACCCCAAGTGCCTTCAGACACTCCCTCACGCGACGAACATATAAACATGACGGATACCGCTCAAATACTTCAGGTAAATGCTGTAGCAACACTGCCGTTAACACTTCCACAACTCGAGTATCAAGGATTTTGTTCGGATCCTTTGTACTAACGCTCGCTTGGAATAGAAGTCGACATAGAGCTTGAGCGTCCGCTTTTGTTGTAGTATCAAATTTGAAGTCCGGCACAAACGGTCGAGCCTGAGAATCCCAATCACTGAGAACTCGAGAAACCTTTTGGTCTTCATTGGTAGTGATAAATACGTACGCAAAAGCTTTGTTCGTAGAGGTCATGTTCCATGAACCCCGATCAAATATCCATTGAGCACTCAACATAGGGTCAGCGTTGGCATATTGAGCACCACCACGCCGAAATGAATGCGACGTTAGGTTTTCCGTCAACCCAGCGCGTGATTGCATCTCTGACACCGATTTGGAGATTCGGTTGACATATCCGTACATCTTGACACTGGAATCCGGTTGCTTCACGCTTACAAAAACTTGGCGTTTCGGGTTCTTTTATCTATTTAGTGAGCCAGGTTTTATTGTATTTCGAATCGGGTTGGTCCACTAATAAAAATGGTTATTGCAACCAATAACCAATAATTAACTTAAATTGTAGTCTTATTTTCGAATGCTATTGTCCTCATTTACTAAAAATAAGAAAGAGACCTGGAATAAGTGTAGGTTAGTTTCTAGTCTGGCTAGTTAGTAGTGCCTCAAGAGTTCTGGGACAATAGTTGCAAGGCTGCTCGTGAATCCCTTCGCTAAGTTTTTTACATGTAAATGCTCAAACCTCAATTATTATGATACTCTTAAAAGAGAATCTGTACTAAAGACTTCACTCTATAATTCTTTGAAAGCGTTTTGACTCAACACTTAACTATTTTAACACTTAACTATTTTAACTAGTTATTACAAGTACACTATCAAAAATTTGTAAAGGAGAATAAAAACAAAAACTATGAAGTCTCAAATTGAAAAATATCATGGTTAAGCAAAAGACGACAATTGCGCCTGGAGGCTGCTCACACGGATTTCAGCTGGCTTCCCAGGAAATCCCTATTCACCTCGCTCATCTGCCGAAAAGGACTTCAGTCCCAGCATCGAACCGTTAGGCAAAACACCTCGATCATTTTTATTGCTGTTCTCCCAGCCTAAAGCTGAACACCCCTGAATCTTCATGATTGAATAAATGACACCAAACAATTTTTTTGTATCGCGGGGACGACCACAAACGGCAGTAGTAGTCGACAACCGAAAGGTTTGATGATACATTGGGGGTATCTACAACGTGTGAGTCTTGGACCTGGAGGCATTGGAAAAACTGTTATGATTGCCACTCCGTGTTGTTCGAGAAAATTACTCGTTCTTGAAGAACACATTCTCCGTATTTTCAAGTACGCGGGCAGCAACGGCTTCCTGATCTTCGCCGCGAATGGCACTAATGATCTCAAGGACTTGGCTGCAGGAATTATAGAACGATGCAACGATTAGCGACAGAGTATAGTACGTCGAAGTAGATACAGTAGTATATGCTGAGCGTACATGAGTGTGCACGGCTCGTTACGGCCCTTGACAAGACAGTCCGGTGCATACTTCTCAGCCTTTTTGCTCTGCCAGGACGTCTTCACATGGCCATGGCCTGCGTGAGTCGCTCGAATATCGCACCAAGGCGCGTCTGTTTTCATAATGGTCCAACACGCATTTACAATAGTTCTCAGCCAAAATACAATACCAAGAGATCAGTCTTTGTGTAGTCGTACCAGTCTCAATCATCAATCGTTCAAGTGGAATAGCCTTAACACACTCCAAATTCTCCGCAGTCTTCAACGAGCATCCGTTCACACCTGTACCAGCAAATCAACCTGTAAACATCATATCTGTTTTACATGTTAATCCTTGAGCAGCTCACCAATGTATAGTCCGAGCTCCACCAGCTTAAGCATCTCTTCCTTTTCACCCGTGAAGGAGTGCACAACGCCATTCGAGAATCTCGACCGATTCTTCGAAATCATATCTGGAACAGCACATAAAAATCCCATCAGCACATTTACACCTTGTTTGATTAATCAACGCGGTAATTCTCACCGTAGAAATCCCCTCCCGTGTTTCTATTATGAAGAAAGAGTGGTAACTTGGTCAATTCCGCCAATTGGAACTGTTTCTCAAAGTATTTGAGTTGCGTTGCCTTATCACAAAACTCGAGTCTGTCGTAGTCCAGTCCGCACTCTCCGATTGCCACAACTTTTCCTTCTTTTTGGCCTTGTTCGCACACAGCCAGTAGTTCTGCAAAGTAGGTGTCAGGGTCTTTTCCGTTCGCTTCGAACTCGCTGCAACGCGTCGGATGGACCCCGACAGTTGAGAACAGTTGCGGCAGCCCATTACCCTCTTTTTCCTTTGCCAGTTGCAACGCCTTGTGGCTCTCCTCAAGGTTTCCACCCGTGACAATGATTTTGTCAACACCGAAAGTCTTGGCGCGGGCCAGAATGGCGGTCAGATCCGACTGAATTGCGAGGAAACAACAACAAGTTAAAGCGTGTAAACTAATGAAGAGGCCCTCAGAACCGTGGCAAGTCACCTCGTGCTTTTGCTTGCCGCGATAGAGGCCTGTGAAAACCGGGTCCGTCAGATTCGCTCCGATATCGATCATCTTGAGCGCCACCTTGCCGGTACTACGCAGCATTAAGTTCGCACTAAAAAGCATTAAGTTCGGTTTTTATCATCGATAGACCAAAAATATTTGCCAGTCAAGAAGGTTTCAAACCTGCAAAGGCAACTTCAACAAAAGGAAATCTTGCATTTGCGCGGGAAAACCGTTCGCAAAGGGAAACGAAGTCAAAGTGGTTCATTTCTCTTTTTGCCACCCACAAATCACTTGGCATTCAAAGAGCTACGGCTGACAAGGAGAAGAAAGAAATGGCAAAAGCTGCTTGGCTTTCGGACGCAGAGCGCGAGAGAATCGTGCAGATGCGCAAAGGTGGCGTGTCCGTCAAGGATATTGCCCAGCAAACGGAACGCAGCGCCAACTACATATACCGCGTCTTGAGGAAGGCCAAAGGCGCAGAACCGACCAAGAAGAAGCAGAAGACGATGGTCTCCGATGTGTCAACAGCCAATGCTCGTGCCGCTCTGGCTGTTTCTCAGCGTAATGACACCGGAGAGGGACGTGATCAGCTGCTGCAAGACCTCACCGACCCCAGTTCTTCGCTGATGTGCGCGGTCGAGAGCATGGAGGTGTCGGCGTATGAACCGATCCCATTGCTGAGATCGGAGAGGGGCTCCGAACGGCAAACGCAATCCCAAACGCGTCAGGACGCAGTGAACAGCGCTGTTTCCTTCAGTGCCGCAGCAAATGCCAGCTCCAATGTTGCCAAGCCTCATGCAGAGCAAAATTCAGAGGAGTTGTGGCTACTGACGGATACTACATCGACAACTGGCCGCCCAGAGGGTTCATCTCCGACTAAAACCCCGTCCTCCGATGCTTCTAGCAACAAGCAACTGCAATTGCAGCCGTCGAACAAGCGAAAGCCTTCAGCTCCTCAAACTTCCACCCAGACGAGCGCTGCGTCCACTTCTTCGTTGCTTGTGAACCTCCACCTCCCACGCTCCAGAGCAGAGACCACGAACAACTCCAAAGCTTCTCGTGGGGTTGACGGCCTCCTCCAGCGGGTCCAAGACGAAATCGGACGCCTCGAAGGCTTGACTCAGTCCGATATTTATGACGCTCAACTGCTGCAGATGCTGGTGAAATTCCACGCCGAGACGCTGCTTGTTCAACTGCAGAAAACTCTGTCTGTTGGTGGGTCCAATAAACGAGCGAGACAAGACACTGCTGGCCAGGAAACAAGTCGTCTACTTCGCCAGAAATTGGCCAAGGAGATCGCCCTCTTGAACGTCCAAGCCGACCGGGAAAGACTGGAGCTGGAACGGGAGCAGATCCGACACAAGACGACCTCGATGATCTGCCGCAAGACGCTTCTGGACGCCAACGCGTCTCCAATCGACGTGGATCAGCTTTTTCCTCGCCAGTAAGGACCCATTTTGACCAGTTTTGCTCCGTTTTGGCTGCACCAAGTGCATTATCATCGCGATTGAGGTACGTCCAACAGCTTCCTCGTGATTTTTCATCCCTCTATGTTGCCATTTTTTTATGCGTTATCGATTGGGCTCTAGCAATACAGACTGCGCTCCAAATACTGATCTCCGCGTTTTCTGTTTCCGCGCTGCTGCTGTTTTACGTGTTCGCGCTGCTGGATTATAAGTGACTCGTACAAGATTGGTGGGACTATCGTGCCATATTAGCTGGAGCTGATCGGAGTACACGTCTTCGCCTTCTTGAGCAGAGACTCGGAGTTTGTCACTTCCTCCAGCGCCAACTTCCGCTTGGCAGCGGCCAATGCTGCTGACTCCACATTTCCACCATCGACACCAGCCGCGTCGTCGCTTCCAACACTATTACTATTGCTATCATCCTGCTTCCCGTCACTGTTATTGCCGCCAATTTTCTCAGCTGCTGGCGTAGTAGAGCTGCTCCCATTTTCACTGCTGTTGGGTGTGCCAAGTTTCCACGATATCTTCTGGAATACGTTCTTGAACTGGGGCGATCGAGCTTTCTTAGACGACTGCTGTGCTTTCTTCTGAGCGAGGACGTTGCTTCCTCCCAAGAACGACTGAGTATCCACCTCATCCTCTTTCTTCTTGCGCACAGGGAGCTTAAGTTCTCGTTCTTCTTCCTCGATGTCAGCGCCTCGTGGAGATGTAGATATCAAGTCAGTTGAGATGTTTTCCTTCTTTGTAGTGGATTCGTCGTCATCGTCATCGTAATCCACCAATTTTATTGATCGCGGGCGATTTTGGCAAGGAACCTCCTCCTGAGAACACACCATGACCAATGAGTTAGTATCAACTCTATTGACCGTAGATCAAGACCAGTTCCCACCTCTGACAGTCCGTTCTTGGTAAATTCAGGCGAAGATTCTGTCGTTTCGGTGTCTTTCTCGAAGTACAGCTCCTCTTCGTCGTCGATACTACCTGCCCGTACAAACTGGACCTTGTTGGCATCGGCAGAACTCATGTCTACGTCCTCAGACCCTGTGTTTCCATCATGGCGCGTGCGAATAGCCTCGAACACTAATGGACATTCAGCTTTATACGTCTCGTAAAACTTCGTGTAGATGTGCTCGACCAACGACGTCAAGTTCGTCTATATCGTACAAATACACACAAATTCTTTAGAATAAACTAAAACCAATACAGTAGAGTAATGTGCTTTTGCTTACCTTTTCAATAAACGACAATACTTCCAAGATCACCGAGCCAACAGCACCAGTATTCGGTTTCCCGATCTCCAGATTTGCCAGCATCGGTGTAAACAGATCGTTCTGAATCAAAAACCTGGAAAAGAATGCCTCAGCTCGTACTGCGCACGCTCGAACAAACTTCACGGCATCTGGTAGCATGGCAAAATAATTAGTGAGACTGATCGAAGGTTGATTAGCTGCACATACAGCTCGCAGCACCTGAGGAAGGTGGTCTGTACTACTACGTACGAATAACGAAGAGCTTGTTCGTGGAGCGCAACATTTTCTCCGCATAGGTTGCAATCGGTTGTCTTCCGAATAGATACTTGACACGATACCCGTGGTTTTCTGTGCAGAACGTGAGTAGTTCCATGATACTGTCTTGTAGATCAAACATGGCGGACTCATCGGGGACAAAGGCGTTGTTCTTCAGCGGTTGAAGCAGCCAATGCATGTAGTTAGGGTAGAACACACTCAAAAACTTGTCGTCCTGTAAATGATAGTGCACAATACAGCTGCATCAGACTCCACAAGCCATATATAATGAATTTTTCAGTAAAAGTACCTGTCCAAGCGGTACGCGGAAGATTTCCCTCAGCAAATTAAACAACTGGATTCGAAGTGGTTCGTTTCGCTCGAACACAACCAGCAGAGCAGTGAATAAAGACGAGTCTGGCGTCCACGTGATCCGTTCTTTATCCGATGCCGGCGCAGGTATGCATTTGCCTTCACTTGCGAGGTACGACCGTAACCTGTCTGGCCCCTGGTAGACAACTAGCATGTTCAGAATGTCCACCGCTAGCGCGACTTCCATTGGCTTTGAATCGGGAGAACCCAGAATGGTACCAAACGCCGCAAAGAGCTCGCCATCACTGAACAGATCGTCAATAAATGAGCCAAACACTGGTCGAGCTCCGAAAGGTTCGCGGCGCTGAGGTCTGTCCAAGGGCTTTGTCACCCGCGCCATGCTGATAATCGCTTTCAGTAGTCCAAGGCCATCCACTCTTTTGTCGCTGCTTGATACGAGGTCTTTGCTACAATATGAGCAAAAATGCTCGTTAGAATACAAACTACCCCATTATTTTACAGTCTCATTGTGCGTACATGGACTTCCAGTAGTCTTCAGTCTCGGAAATGAACGAAAGGATGTGGAAATTGTTCTCGTTGGCCATGTGTTCCAGCAAGAGCACACACCCATCCGGTAGTGAGCGTGACAACACGTTGTCCTTAATCACTTGGATACGGAAGTTCATGTGGACTCGTTCCACTACTCTCCGATCTGTGATAGGGATCACCTGTCCATGAACAAACCAATAACGTCAACGATAATAAACTTGGACCGCTCCGTCTGCCTAAACGCCACACTTTGTTATCGCACAGTACCTCTTGAAATCCCCCATCTCCTTCCAGAGCCGTTCTAAAGTCCATCTCGCGGATTAACCCTGGGTTGTAGCCGAATACGCCGACTACCGAGATGAAGTTGGTCTCATTCAGCAAAATTTCAATCACACCGCGGTTGCACATTTCCACTGATTAACCACGAGTTGTAACGTCAGATTTATATCAAAATTCAGTTGGACAAACTCATTGCACTTACGCATGGCGTAGAAAATGTCGAATAGCTTGTGTAGCACTGTCTTGTCGGCGTCCAGCTCGCACACGTCGAACAGATCCAGCAACTTGACAATGTATGCGCCGTCCTGTTCGTTGGGAACACACACTGAGTCTACGTTCTCATTCGGTTCTCCAATAATAAATCGGTCACCTTGTCCGTGAGGTCCTTGAGCACTTTGGAGCGCACAGTTGGATGCGACGTCTTCAGCACTAGCAGGATCTCGTCCAGGTGCTCCACATCGCACGGTGGCAGGTCGCGGCTGCGCATCAATGTCAATCAAGTGGCCGTTAGCACGTTATCTGCCAATAGAAACCGCCACGCCAAGGCGAGACGAGAACGAATCCGCTCGTACGGCTTGATGTCATCGCGGAAAAGCTGGTCGAGGCTGCTCCCGCCCTCCATGATGGCACGTCGATGACTCGCGCTGGCAGGAAACCACCCGATTAACTGGTCGCGCTCACAGCAGCAACTTTTCGACTGCGTGCGTTACCGACACTTGCAAAGTGAGATTTTCCGACACCAAGTCTCTCCCCTTTTGGCTGACCAATGGCGAGACGGTATCAGTTGGGTTTTGGCCAATGAGAAGACAGGTGATGTGCTTTGGGTCACTTTGCCTTGGACGGCACCAGCCACAATGAGGCAACGGAAGCCCAGTTGGCGTTGCTGGCGCGATGGGGAAAGCAGCTTCGCGTCGTTTTGTGGTGAAATCAGACAATTCAGAACTTCAAGCCACACGCATAGTCGACTACTTGTAAGCTGACATCTCCATCACAAGACGTGGCGTGACTGTGCTCAACGGATGTCATCCAGCTGACAGTCCAGTGCGAAATTGACAACTTCAACTGAAATTATCACAATAGAAGTCGTAAGCTCAAATTCACTTTCAAAATTCCGATCACCTCATTGGTAATATTTTCTGCCAATCGATACTCAAATGTTTCGATTTCTCCAAAGTACAGATTTCAGTTGAAAATGGCCGGCCGAGAGTTCGCGCATGTCCAGCCGGTGCGTGCGTGCCCCTGGCGGGCCCAGGAGACCCAAAACGGCCGCACTCTTTCTCCTATCTCCTCTGCAATAGGCTTGTGTAACTTGTGACAATCTTTCGCTCTCCCGCTCGCCAGGACAATGCCGAGATCGAACGATCTGTGCTCTCACAAGAGGTACGTCCTGAGCGTTCCCATTGGTTGAATATCCTGATAATACGTAATAACACGTACTTGATGCCTGTGCACGGCAGGTGGAAGCGCTGCGAAACCGGCTAGGGCTGCGCCAAGTGGACGTGTCGAAGGAGTGCGGTGTGAACGCCAGTATGCTGTCCCAGTGGATGCTGGGCAGGTACAAGGGCAATGTTGGACGAGTACGTGACACATGAAGGAGTGCTTAAAGCCTTTCGAATACGGTGACGCACGATAAGCGCAGGAGTTTAACTATGTGCGGTTTTAAATGACACAGATCAACGGTCTGATGGAGTCGTGGCTGATTCGCCGGCGTGGAGGAAAGCCGATGGATAAGGGCATGATGCGTACGATTTTTCTGGACGATTTCCTATTCAGTGGAATACTATGAGAAGATAATGACGAGTCTGTGTAGTGTTCACCTCGACGGCTAGCTCACCGAAGCTGAAGCGAAGGTTGGAGGAGATGAACGATCCACTACAAGCAGCCAGAAGGTGCGAATGCTGCTCATAATTGCAAAATTGACAGTCATCTCATATTTCACATGGCTGGACCAGGAAAGACAGCATGGTCCTGGCGCAGCGCAAACTGTATAATTATCCCAAGGTGAGTAATATACTCGAATGCTCTCAGTTCGTATGTCAAAACGCTGAATAAGTCTACGTCGTTTACAGTTCCCAACTCATGACACGCTACTGATCCCCATTCGACTCGACATAGACGTCGAAGGTTACCGGTACATTGACTCTTTTTCGTGGAACTTGTAAGTGAGCATTACGCATTCATCCTGTCACTTGGAGCTGACAGTAACGGCACGTTTACAGCTATGAGAAGGACTTCACGTACGAGACATTTGCTGCAGCGCTAGTGAGAGACTTGGATCTCCCCAACTGCTTTTACAAGCGGATCGCAAAATCGATTCAAGAGCAGGTGGAGAAGGCACAGAAATTGCTTCCATGGAGCGAGGCTGTCACTGGCGAGAGTTTACACCCGATTTTTATCAACCTACGGCTAAACGATACTATCTACATCGACCGTTTTGAGTGGGATCTCAATAATCCCAACAACTCACCCGAGCGCTTCGCCCAAGTCGTTTGTGAGGACTTGGTAGGTTACAGTTACTGTCCTCGCCCATACTTTGAGGTTTGCTGACTGACAGATCATCGTTCTGTACGTGCAGGGTTTGAGTGGCGAGTTCGAAGCCCAAGTGGCTTTATCCATCCGCGAGCAGCTTCGAGACTACTCAAGAGTAAGCAAACAATGCGATCTGCTAATGCCAGAGTGGAGTGCTGACGTGGTAGATAATGCTATTGAGCAGCTTATTCGAGAAGGTTTGAAAGACCGAGTCAGCAGACTACCACCAGTCACTGCAGCGTTCCGCGACCGCCTTGACGCTGAAGCGTGGGGTCCGTCAGTGAAGTACATTCTGGCGGACGACATCCCACAACTCGAGCGCGAAGACTTTAAGCGGATGAGGCCGCTATCACGCCCGACGATACACGTGACTCCGCCTCCCGCTCCAGTAGCAAAACCCAATCGGCCGCCCAAGCCAGTCAACACATTCCTCATGTTTTGCAGGCAAAACCGAAAGAAGATTATGGCGGATCATCCTGCTACCAGCGCTAAGGATGCGTCGAAAATTCTCGGAGATATGTGGCAAAAACTGTCCGAGAAGGAACGCGCAAGGTATGAGTCAGTGTTGTGGGGGGGGGGGAGCGAAATGATGAGTGTACTAACACGTTTGCGTTGTAGTTACATCCCAATGACCGAAATGGAGAACCAGCGGCGAATGAACGAGTGGCGGATGAAGGAGAACGCACTGAATGGCATCCACACGACACTAACTGGCGGCATAGCAACTCCCACTGCATCAGCCACTTCCAGACAAGCCACAATTCCTGGCGCTCCGATGCTTCTAGCTCCTCGAATCGCTCCGAGTGTGGCCTCGCCAATCGACGACGTTGACGATGCTGACGCCGAGGATGACGAAGACGACGAAGACGACGATGAAGATACTGCTAGTGCGACTGGCATTACCGTCTGATAAAGCTGCATTGATCAATCAAGCCAGGTCTCAATCTATTGAGATCTGGCCCTTCAAAAGTCTGCGTTTGCTTTTCTTGTTGTATTACTACGCATAACAAATTCCTTAGGAGGACTCCTCACTGTCTGTCGTGGGCGGCAATCGCCACTTGGACTGGTAGAAATGATTCTCCAGCTCGAACAGCGCTGACGAGATGTCCGAGCTCAAGTGCGAAATCTGCGCGTCCACGTCATCGCATCTGTGCCAAAATAACCATGAGCCGTGCAAACTACAGAAGTATTTAGCCAAAAATACGGTTTGTACTCACCGTTTAAGCAGTTCATCGGAGGTCGTGTCGACGTTTTGGCTCATGCCTTCGAAGTCGCCAAGTGCCAGGGACAACTTCATTTCAGAAACGAGCTTGAGCAGCGACTCGCTCGCCTGCACCAACGTCGTGGCGTAGATGGAGCTCTGGAAAGACTCGCGCGTGGTGTTGGCTGGGTCCTTGATCTTGGCTGTCTTAATCAGCCCCTTGAAGTTCTCCACTAGCTTCTCCACATTGTTGTCTAGGCGCTGTCGATACTCTTCCGCCATTGCTAATGTGAAGGTCACCTCAAAAAGCAGAACTCAACAATGCATTTGATGTATCGTACACTATATTTTGTGCGATTACACCGTAACCTTGCCGCAGAGAATTACTATGTACGGATCGATGTCGAGCAAAGGTGGCTGTATCATGCCAACTCCGGTCGAGAATATGTGTCCTTGTATTCATGGTGATGCAGACACTTACACGTAGGAAGGTGTCAATGAGCCTCATTCGTGCTGTCCAGGCTCGGTCGTTATTTCTAGAGCGCCGTTTGGGTCAGCGGTTCCAAAAACGGATCTTTACGAGGTTTTTTGACGAAATAAAACCTCTTGTATTTACTATTGAACTCCAAAGGGGGAAAGCAAAAAAAAAAACACCCTTCAAAGGCAGTTCCCTACATTCTTGTCAGGTGCGTGAAGATGGCGGTCGCTGGCGGCACGATCTCGGTCTACCTCGCGGTAGAGCGAATACTGCTAGCAACCTCCGCATAATTCACATTCACAGCTATCTAACTGTAAGCCGTATGCGCTCTGTACCACTCTGTTGCTTTCGTCTTGACCGCAGAAACACACTTAGAAAGCCGACTACCTCAAGAGAACAATGCTAGCCCAGCTCGTAGCAGACGTTTGCCCGTCGTCGGCCTCTTTCTTCGGTTTCATGGGCGTTGCCTCCGCCCTCGTCTTCGCCAGTACGTTCTGCAGTCTAGTGACCAAAGCTACGGCGCAAAACAAACCGCAGCAATCGGGTCTTCGTCGTACTGTTTTTAGTGGCATTTTGAGCTAACTTATTTTTGACATTACCACTGTAGATCTGGGTGCTGCATACGGCACGGCCAAGTCAGGCGTGGGCATCGCATCCATGGGTGTAATGCGGCCCGAGCTGGCCATGCGTAACATCATTCCCGTGGTTATGGCCGGTGTGCTGGGTATCTACGGTCTGATTGTGGCGGTGATTATTCAGGGCTCGATCGACCCTCCGAACGGCAACGCGCCGAAGTACGGCTCGTACACGGGCTTCGCACACCTGGCTGCTGGTTTGTGCTGTGGTCTGAGCGGTCTGGCGGCCGGTATGGCTATCGGAGTGGTAGGTGACGCCGGCGTACGCGCCGTTGGCCAGCAGGAGAAGCTTTTCGTGAACATGATCCTGATTCTGATTTTCGCGGAAGCTCTGGGTCTGTACGGCTTGATCGTGGCGCTGATTCTTTCACAGAAGAAGAGCGACTGCCCGTCGGAGTAAGCTCTGCTTGGCTGGTGGCTGTTGCAGTCTTTTGTTTGCTTTTGTTCTGCCTTCGTGTTTGTAGGTTTTGGGGGCGGTTGGGTTGTCTTCGCTATTTGGTTTGGATGTGAACTGCGACGTGGTGTCGCTCTTGTTTTTGCCGCTTTTTCTTTTTTGTTGCTTGCCTTGGTGACGGTTGTTCTTCAGTCTTTTGATTTGTTTTTAGTGTTGCGGTTGCTGTTGTTTTTGTGTCGTTTTGTTTTGTGGGTCTTGTTCGTGGGTGTTGCGTGCGTGGTGATTGTCTTAGCGTCTCTTCGCCCTCTGTTTCAAGCTGAACTCGATCGAAGCTTCTGTAGTGTCCGTAGTGATATGGTTTGCGAGTGTTTTTTTGTTGGTGTTGTTTCTTGCAGTTGTGCCGACTTTGGCTTTTGCTGAAGGCTGTTTGCTTCGCGTTGCGTTTCACTTCTCCAGCCATTGGTTCGGCGAAGGCTATGTCTTTTCAACGTTGTGAGTTCGGCTTTTGCCTAACCTGACTGTGGCGCCTGTGTCCTCCTTCCTCGTGTGCTTGCTTACTCCGACGGGCAGTCGCTCTTCTTCTGTGAAAGAATCAGCGCCACGATCAAGCCGTACAGACCCAGAGCTTCCGCGAAAATCAGAATCAGGATCATGTTCACGAAAAGCTTCTCCTGCTGGCCAACGGCGCGTACGCCGGCGTCACCTACCACTCCGATAGCCATACCGGCCGCCAGACCGCTCAGACCACAGCACAAACCAGCAGCCAGGTGTGCGAAGCCCGTGTACGAGCCGTACTTCGGCGCGTTGCCGTTCGGAGGGTCGATCGAGCCCTGAATAATCACCGCCACAATCAGACCGTAGATACCCAGCACACCGGCCATAACCACGGGAATGATGTTACGCATGGCCAGCTCGGGCCGCATTACACCCATGGA